TACAGGTAACTAGCCAATCTAGAATGTGTAAATGCGACCCGCTACCAGGTATAGGTGAAGGCATGTTACCTGTAATCTGATGTTTTCATGGAGATCGAGGGCAAAAATAGCTGTGCCACAATTACGTCAAAAAACCAAGAATTCTGGGGTCAAAACAGTCCCCCCGTAATTGCGTCGCACGCCACTTCGAGACCAAATCCCCCTGCTTCGTTGTCGAGTTGAAACAATGCCCTGCAAGTCTTTGTAATCCAGTCAAGACCAAGAAACCCGGTGCTATATCCAACTACCCCATCCGCCACGTCAAATTTACAAAACCTAAGGCAAAATCCAGCCACCCCACACACTCAGAAACAACTAAGCCGGAAGACAAATTAACCGCGACGAAACTCGCCAATGGGACAGTCCTCTAAATCCAGCACGCCTGGCAATGTGCCGAGTGGCGTCGACGAGACTCACCGCGAAATAGCGTTAGCGAGGAAGTTAGGTTACCGGATGAGCCGGACCGAGTTTTAATAATTGCCCCTCAACCACTTCTCTTAGCCTTCACTCCACTCCTATTGATGTTTCCAGTCCTTTTTTGTCCCACTTTTAGTCAGTGCAACTTGACCAGCCAAGCTTAGCTCAGTTTTAGCAGTTGTCCGAAAGCGAGTGCATTTTGCATGGCCGAGCCGAGTTCTAGTGATTGCGCCGAACGTGAGTCATGCAGCTGTTTTTTTGGTGGTCGGTAGTTTTTTCGTTTCGACTCCTCTTCCAGGCCTTACTAGGGGTGCCACTTGTGCCAGGACAAGATCAAGGCCATCTCCTTATTTACTGTGCATGAAAAGTGGACTAAGATGATTGGAATTAGGTGTTATGTATAAGAAGACATTTCACGATGCAGTCTGTGTTTCATCCCTTAGCTGTACACACAGACCGGACTATGCATGTGGGTAGGAGTGGGAATCGTCAGTACAGCCCCCTTACCCGCCATGTACTGAAAAGACATGTAACTAATTTGCAAAAAGGATAAGAACACTTAGAAAGAACAAGGACACTTAGGAAATAGCCTAAACGAAGGACACTTAGGTAACAGCCTAAAAGAAGGACATTTAGAGAAAGGCTTAAACGACAACGCATGTCCCAACAGAAAATCACCTGCCGACAAGGCTATTGATGCCTTTTTCTTTTAAGGGTTGCTTCGAGATGGCTTTCACTTTCATGTGCCAGTACCAATTTACCATCGAAATGAATGAATGAATCGTCGAATGATCGGTG